CTAGCCTTTCAGGTGCAACAATGGAGTAGCCAGACATGCTGATGGCCCATTAAAGGGAATCCACACTCCCCAGCGACCATCCCAGAAGACTTCTAAGAGAGAGAACATAGACAATGGAGAACATTTGACCAATGGGACCCCCACGTCACAAGCATAGATCTTTCTAGCAACCTGGAAGAAACTATAAAAGAAGGGGAAGTGACATCATGACTTGGCCTCACTCCCCCCACAACTCAACACCTGGAAACACATCTGGAGGACAAAGATTTTGAACTGGGGAGGGTGGAGGAGAGTTCCAGCCTATGTATTGAAGATCTGTGACCCATTTGTACCATCTATCAGGGTGAGACACTGCTTGATTCAAATCCTGTCTAGTTTATAGAACTCAAATGTTATTTCTTAGGTAACCAACTTTGGTATCTACGCTTACTACTTATAATCACTTAAAATCTATCTTTCTGTAGTTAATAAATCTGTTTTATATTTTACCTAAAACAGTGGGTTTTGGTTTAAGTGCTTGAGAAATCTCAGCTCAATTGACAAAGGTTAGTGTGTGTCCTCTCCACAGGTAATAAACTTACACTGGTCATGCTTCTGACTAGGGCAAGACAGTATATTTCAGGGGTGCAAGACTGAGGAGCTGGGGGAAATTGGCTGGAGCCTCTTTATTGTTGGTTTATGAGTGGCTGGGACAAGCATTCATGTAACTCAGTTGGCTGTGTCCCTGGCTGTGGATGTCTGTGTACGTGCAGTACCTGCCACAGCCAGGGACACAGCCAACTGTCTTGTAGCTTGTCACAGCATCACCGTGTGAGAGGGATATCCCAGGATGGTGGGACAGAGGGCTCAGCGGTCCCACAGTTCAGGTTGCACCCAGGGAACCCCATCACAGTCACCCTTTTTATATTGTCTTTCTTTAGTGCAGTGAACGTATATCTCACATTCTCACAGCTATGGGTTAATAGCAACCAACAAAGTTTAGCTTCAAAAACATCAAACAAATCAAAGAATGGTAATTCACACACATGAATTATGTGCCACAGCCACACACATAGCTTCCTCTTGCACAGACTGTACAGGTTCTTTTGCTTTGTCCCCAAGGCATTCTTCTTCTACAAGTAGTGCTCTATCCCCATCACTATAGCATCCTTAACAAACAGCAACAAAGAAAATAGATTTAAAAAACAAGCAAACAACCCACTGTGTACAAAATCACAGTACAGCATGGTGCAAAAGAGGGGCAGGCATCAGTCAATAAGGGATTGTCTACACATGGAGTTATTCAGGAACAGTTACTCTTATATAACTTCATGGGTAGACATTCTTATTCAGGAATAAGATTGTCTTGTTTCTGTTTAGCTTAACCCACTGCATTAAACTAAATAGGAATAAGGCACGGGAAATTTCACATGGTCTGTCCCAAAAGGGAGCAAACCACCCTGCACCTCTAAGAGCAGACAGCGTATGTGGGGGTCCTATACTTGCTCAAGGTCTCAGTGAGAGAGGTGTAGAATGGTGTCCTTTTCCTTTGAGGTGTGTTATCTAGGGCTGTGATTAGGTGCCTTCAAGGAAGAAGTCTAAAGATCAAGACAACATGAGCAGTTGGAGCAAGGGTGCAGGTGTCAGACAGTCCTACTGCTGGCTTCCACATGGAAGAATGACACACTATTGAAAACTATTAATAGTAGCACTGGATATGTTCCTTCCCCTTTCTGAATGAATTAAGCCAGAGCTGTTGTACTGGCATCAATAAATAAAAAACTTGCAGCAGGTGCTACCAGCTAGGCTGCCCCATTTCATTCCACTCCAAGCAAACAGTCAGCCAGTTGTGGGGATGTTAAAGTGTTAGGAGATAATAGTGGCTCTGGTTCAAGCACCAAGTCTATTAAGGAAGGAGATTACTACTCCAATTATAGGACCGGTGGACGTGAATAACTCTTTCTATGGAACAACGATGAGGGTTTCCTTACCAGCCAACAAAATTTGGCTAGCAAGTAAACAAAGTTCAATGGACAGCTGCACAATATGTGCAGCATTGCTGATCCATTTACAGATCTTGCCACATGCCTATTGATTGACATACAGTAGGATGCAATTTAAGCATTATTATTCCTGTCTTCCCTTTTTTCTCTTATTGTATTTTTTTTATATCTTCATCTCTGAAGATTCTTAATACTGAGAAGTAAAAGAAAGAGGGTACAGGCATTTCTAGATTATTCTAGTAACACATTTTGGGTAGGAACCTTAGCAACATCAAGTTATCTGATTATCGGTAGTTGTTATTTTTTGTTCCAAAGCCAGTGAGATATTTTGACATTAAATCATTCTGTAACACAGACCCTCCTACAATTAAATGCTGTCTTCTGTGCTTGTTATATGTGAAGGCCACAAAACTAAATTCTTTTCACACAGTGGACAGAGGAAGGCCTTGCTGCTGCTATGGGCTTTGTGGAGGTGGATGGAGGATTAACTGGAATGGTGCTATGTATGGGTACATGGGTTACAATGGTCCACCCATGTAAAACTCACTCCAGAGTGAGATTTTCAAAAGAGCTCAGCATCCACCAATTCTCACTAAGGACAATGGAAATTGCTAGGTGCTGAGTTTTTCAATTTCAGGGTAACTGCACACCTAACCCCCCCTTCGGAGTCCCCTCCAGGAATGTCTAGCCAGGTCTCAGGACTCCACCAGTTACCTAGTCTCACTCCCTTCTGACTGGGCATTTTAGGGCTGCACAGCTCCCTACCTTACGTTGTGATATCCCCAGCAAGCCAGTTTGGACCCTAACAGCCAGTGCCTGTGCATTGCGTTCTCTCCGACTATGAACTGCATATTGCCAACAATTACAAGTTACAGAGAAAACATAAAAAACAATGAAAGTTCCTATACTCATGCTAAAATCTTAACAGAGGTCACCTATCAGCCTTATGGGGGCCCTAGTAGGCCAAAGTCTTTCTATCCCTTCTGCAACTGTTGGGACAGACGGTCCTGTCTGTGTTCTGGTTCAGAAAGAAGGGCGCTAGCCAGTTTAGACCCAGCCTTTCTATACCAGAAGCCCTTTCTCTGTTTGTTGGTCTCTGAAAAACCCAGTTTAAACCACTTTATACAAGCCTACCCAGGGGAGTGGAATCTCTCTGGAAGTGTTTACAAACTTAATCGCTCTCCGTCCCCCACTGTTTTATAGTTCCTGGAGGCACTGTGGCAACCTCTCCCACCCCCAAATTGCATATGATCCCTGAGCAAGAGTGGTACATCAGCTATTCATAAACTTAATACAGTATGGTCCCCCAAAGATATTGCATGCAGTTGCAATATCTGTCATACTGAGTGAGCTCTTTTGAAAATCTGTGCATGTGTGATAATATCTCAAAAGGAAGTATGTGCACCCACTCTTTAAAGATTTTATAAGATTTGCATAACTTTTTATTTTTAATCAAGTCAAGGCAGATTAAGAAATACATGTCATGGTATTTCTTGAATTACAATGCCATCATCACAAAACAGAAACAAAAATATTGAGTCTGAAAATGATTTCTCTCTAGAAACTAAAACTATATAATAACATTTTGCATTCACAGTGGCCTCCATCTGAGGATCTCAAAATACTTTGTAATATTAATGAATTAGGTATCCAGCACCCCTGGGAGATGTGCATTATTAGCCCCTTTACATACAATGTCCTGAAACTGAGGCACAGAGAGAGCCAGTGCTATCCCCTTGAGGGCCCGAAGCAGGAATATTTTTGGCCACCCAACACTAAAACAGGCAAGTTATTATAATAAAAAGCAAACGCCCCCCTCCCTTTAGCTGCTTGGGGCCAGAAGCAATCGCTTAGTTTGCTTATGCCTAGCACCAGCTCTGCACAGAGATATCAAGTGACTTCCCCAGGATCACCTAACAAGTGCACGGCAGAGTCCATGGAACTTCTAGACCTATGCCTCACAAGACCATCCTTCCCCACCCCCATTATTACTTATTGAAATACTGTGTTTTTTGCTGTACAAAGCAGAGGAAAGGTAGAAGGACACACAGTATAATAATCTAATGTGCAGGATCTGCAATAGCTGTCACAGCTAGCTCAGCACCTCGGCATTTCCTGACTGTAAGGTTATTCCCCACTCTCCCAAACGCTACAGTGACTTTACTCTAATTAATTATACATTGGTTTGTTAAATGGCAGCCGCGAGTGAAAACCCATCCATCAACCTTCCGACTGGAAAGCTCCCATCCCAACCAGCCGAGGCCCCTCCCCCTGCCTTCGCAGAGAAGCATTACAAGCAAAGAAGGAAAAACACGGAAAAGCTACTGTCGGGAGCTTGGCTGATAAAGGCACCGGAGCAAGAGGAAACCTAACTGACGGCAGCCCCTAACCCCAAAGGGAAAGGGGCTGCAGCGGTGCATGGACGAGCCTGTCGTGTCTGTGCCTTGCTGCAAGGGACACACACGCAGGCGCGATCACCCTGGAGCTTTTCCTGTTGTGTAGCAGCAGCTACAGCGAGTGACAGGCGGAGGCCGCCCCCGCCAGCTAATGACACACGCCCGCTTTCTCCCTGTTGTTGCCGCTGCTGTTGTGGCCCTGGGGTTTGTAAAGTAAAAGGGGAGACGCCCCCCAACACCGCCGCTCTCCCGCAAACTCCTCGCCAGCCGCGGTGCAATAGCCGGGTGCAACTGAGAGCTTCCCTCCGGCCCACAGTCCTGCCCCACCTCTCCGCTCCCCAGGGCAAAGCTCACGAGGCGCTTTACTACTCTCCTCGCTGCTCAGCCAGGGCTGTGGAACGCTCCGGGGAGAATTCTACCCCCGGCGGCTGCTCTGCTCCCCCTCCCCCGCCCCCAGTCCGGCTAATGGGGAGAGCCGTCAGAACACCTGGGAGGAGAGGCGGGCGGCAGTTACCTGACAGTGATTGGCAGCGCGGCCTGAGCCAATGGCTGCGAGGGAGAGATGGGGGAGAAGGAGCTGGGAGGGAGGTGCGGGTGTAAGGCTAGGCGGTGAGGGTAGGTTGCGCCTTGGACCGTGTGCAGCTCAGTGGCTGTGTCTGTGTGAGTGGAAGGAGAGAGGAGGGGGAAGAGACGTATCCAGACCCAGTGCAGCAGCCGGAGGATCTGGAGCAGCAGCCGCTCTGCTGCTGTGGGGGAAGGAAGCCCGGGGCTGCTGCATTTGTACCCTGATTATTTTTTTAAACTTATTTTTTTCTGGCTGCTTTTGCCTGTTATTTATGCAAAAAATATAAATAAGGAAGCGAGTGGCGTGATTGAGATAAATAATTAAGTAGAGGAGGAGGAGGCGGCGGAGGAAGGAGGAGGAGGACGAGAAGAAGCAAAGCAAAGCAAAGCAAGCAGCAGGCAAGAGGGGCCGTAACTTTAACCACAGCCAAGGACCTAGAGACACTGACTGGCCGTTTGCTGCTGCAGCAGCCGTCTCAGCCTTGTGTCTGCGCTGTGTGAGGGAGAGAGCCCTTCCCTCCTGCCCCCGGCTGCTGGAAATGTCTGAGCATAAGGCAATTGATCCAAAGTTATCAACGACGGACAGGGTGGTGAAAGGTAAGTGCTGTGCCGTGCACAGACGGACACACACCGCCAGCTGTCTGCTTGCACTGCCCCGCCTCCATTTTTTCAAAATTTGGCTACCACCGTCCTCCAAGATCCTGTACGTCTCTCCCCCCTCCAAGGAACGGGGTCTGCCTATTTACTGTGGCTGCAGTTGTTAAATGGGCGAGACGCGTTTGGAGGGGGGTGGAGGAGGCGGTGATTGGGGAGTGAATAGGGAGTAACTGCTGTGATAGATATAGGAAGTGGTGGCTGCTGGTCAGGGTTGTGTCTGGGGGTGGTAATTTGATTGATTGGTATCATTGCACTATTGACTCGGCGATTGGGTTTGCTCGGGAGATCTCTCTGCCTAGGGCTACATTGCAGCATTTTCTCCCCCCTGCCTCCCCCTCTCTGCCTTCAGTGGTTGCACAGGGCTCGCGCGAGAGAGAGGGGGAGCCCCAGCTTCCTTAGTTGCTAGAGTGTCTGAGGCAGAAGGGAGGGGAGGGACCAAAGCACAAGAGCCTGGCTCCCTCCCCTCCTCTGGCTACTTCTTCGGGCATTTCCCCCTCCCGCGCCTGATCCGAGCCCCTTTGGGTGGCTGGGTTCGCACGCAGACTCCGCTGTCTGTAGGCAGATCTTGTCACTGCCTTTCAGCTCCCCGCATGCATGAAAATGCCCGTAAATCCCCCGATCCTGACAGCTGGGGCTCTCCTTCCTCACCCGCCCCACTCCTCCCGCGCGTCGCTGACATATGTCCTCTCCCTTCCCTCTCTCAAACGTGCTGCTTGGTGGGGGTGACACCTGGAGCCAGGGGTTGATTCACAGAGATCTCTATTCGGGCGGGGACGTTGCTTTAATGTGTAAGAGCCGGGGGTCCTTGATGGTCTATTTCTCCACTCTTCGAGAAGGAGAATCCACCGATCTCTCTCTCTGTATACACAGTACACACCGAGCCTATCCACCTAGCCACCAGTGTTGGTGGGGTGAGGAAGAGCCTTTGCAGCAGCAGTGGGAAGTTCTTTTTTTTCCTCTGGGCGATGCCATCTAGTCCAGTAGCCAAATGACTTTCGTTTAGGGAGGGGGATGTGACTCAAGAATGTGGAATATTTATCCAGGATCATCCTCTCTAGGAGATGAAAATGCATGTACTAGCTGCATAATACATGCTGAACATTAAGCACAGTAGAAGGCAATCCAAGCCACTTCCCCCATCATGGTTATTGTTTATGGTTTGGCCTGGTTGAATGTGAAGTTATCCAGCAGAGATACTGTGTGCCCTTGTATCTTTGCATGTGTGTGCACATATCTGCGTGTGGGTGTTTCCCACAAATGAGTATAATCTCGGTGACTTGGCTCCATTGTAAAAACATACATATATGTTCTATGAGCTTGAATGCTCCAGGGCCACTCATTTGTTGGGTGACGTTTGTTGGGTGAAAACACATCTGAGAGTTTTCATTAGCCACACAAACACAGTGCACAGCAATACAAGAATGTTTATTCCTGTATGGAACAAATGTGTGTGATTTTTTTAATACATGTACAATGCTTACAGCAAATGTGCGTATTTCTGTGTATGTACTTAGGTGTAATACAGTGTATCCATCATAGGCTATAAACCTCTATTTATCTCCAGATTTTTTGGTGAAATATGGACCCCAAATGGGCTGTGAATGCTTCCAGAATCCAAGAAACTGAGAAAAAATGGCTCTGTAGCATGCACAATTTCATGTGTTTTCTTGAGCATCAACCAAAACCAAATGTAAATCTTATTGAGAGATTCACCTCATTTAAATCTTTCTGTATTTTAATTTTCTGTTTTTTTTCTGATTGTTTCATATCCAAGAGTTATTGTTTTTTTTTTTTTTTTAAAAGAAACTTGGTTGTATGCGCCATAGTAACAGAGTTTTAAAAAATGGAGTTTGCCTTTATCTTGTGAAATAAGAAATATTTGTTGCATGAGTTAGGCAATATTACATTGAATCATGGTCCTGTGACATCACACTAAAAGAGCAAGGATTTAAAAGTTTGTAATATATGACTATAGACTTTTCTGATACCCTTCAATTATAGATATCACAAACATTTCATACATTACAAATATTTTGCATAATGTCTGGAGTACACTAGTAATTGGGGGTTGAATGATGATTTCTTCTTAAATTTTGTGTTTGACTATGTGTAAAGGTAGGACCAAATTCTATGGACTTTACTCAGGGAAAACTTAAATTCACTGGATATTCTTTATGAGTAAGAACAGATGCAGGATTTGACTTATGATCTTTTTACTTAAATAAAATAAAATCATCTTTGCTTTTATGAATGCCGATAAATAAAATTGCTACTTCTGCATTTAATAATAGACTCCGTTACTGTTGTCTTTAAAGGTACTATAATAAGTCTAGGGTGGTGGTGTTTTGTTTTTTTTTAACACGGTGTGAGGTTTTAGTCTCATTATGACTCTTAACCTTAAATCACTCTTCACATTGTTACACTTCATTCTGTGTTAATAAGTATATAGGCTCCAAACTTCCCAGAAACACTATTTCCAAGATACCTTGACAGCACATATAGTTGGGATTTCTTACATTTTTTTTTTTTTGTAGATTTTGTGAGCATTCAGTCCACCAAACATTTAAGATTTTATTCCTTTTATGAAGTATTCATTAAGAGGAATTGAAGGAAGGAACAGAAATTGACCTAAATCATGCTTAGAAGATTTATTCATTCATCTGGCCTGATAGTTGTTATATGTCAACATTTTGTAGTTAATATTTGGATTCATTTAACTGGATTCATTCTTTCATTAAACACCAAAATCCGGTTAAATGCTTAAATGCAGAACCTGGAGTGAGTAATGCACAGTGAACTCTTAATAGGAGTACTTTTATATTGTATCATATTCATTTTAAATTGCATTCACTGAACTGCTTTTTTATTGTTTTAGAAGCATAAATGAAGAAAGATAGTAATGTAGCTTTTTTCACTTATAATAACAAAACAAATGTGATTCTTAACTTAATTTAGTGCTGTAGGATTCCAGGTCCTGTATTGCATTAGTCAAAGTTATAGTGTTTCTTTTTCATAGGTCATTATCTATATCTTCTTGAGAGGAAAAGCTGAATAGCCTTGCAATGGTAAAATTAATAAAAATCAAATATTAAAACACACATGGAGATAATCAGTGAGCCTTAAATTGTAACAAAGAAAAATGCATAATTATTTGAATCCTCTGGACCATGTTCAGATATAACCAGTGCAAACTGAGAGGGTTTTTTTTTTTTTTTTAAATTCATAAATAAATAGAAAAATGGAACCTTATTTGGGGAAGAAACGTTTTTTTGGTCATGTATGTAGGCTTTAGATTTGATTAATTCTTCTGACTGCACAAGAAGCAGTGGCTTTACCGGTCAGGATCTGATAATTTACCTACTGCAAAGTTATAAGTTTAGTTTTGAAAGATCACAATTAGTCAACACATGACAGAAGATGTCTTGTTATATCAAGATCTCCAAGCTTTGTCTGAACCTTAGGTAGGGACTACTACATAACAGTTAGTGGAGGGTTTGAGGGGGTGAGAATTCTAGCAGCTTTAAACAGATTGCTATATTGCTGACACCTGTTGGGTGGGGTTTTTTCTTTTTTTTCTAAAGATACTGCTAAAGAGAGTGACTCTAAAGATGAGAAATGACTTAAGTACAAGTAAGCATTTCATACCCTGCCACTCGCATGGAATTTTCTAGACTATCAAATCGATTTAATGCAAAGTAAAATGTCCTGTCTTTATCGCAGTACAGTTAGGTGTTACTGAATGCTTTGTGAGATCTTGGCTTTCTCCTGCCTGCATTATGTCATTTGTTCACAATGGCACCTGACAGCTTATTGAGTGAAATCTTAATACTCACATGTCCGAAATTACTGTACAGTGAGCAATATGAAGAAGTAATTCAAACCCTGTATTAAAATGGCAAATTTTCAAAAGCAAATTCACTTTTTTGTAAGAGTTGACAGAAGTGTATTCTTGGGAATGGTAGGGAAAGAGTATCCTGCATGTCAGTCTGAAGGATACTATTATACTTCGGTCAAGCAATGGTTACTCCACTTCTTTCGCCTTAATCATTCTGATGCAAAGAGGGTTAAGAACTTCTTGCAACTGTAACCTAGACAAGTCCGCTTTAGATTGTTGGAATTAACATGTGATAATACTATTTTAAAATGTATTGTTCTGCAAACACCCATATGATTAGTTCAGTGGGATTACACATATGCCTAAAGCTGTGCACGAGCCTGAGTGTTTGCAGGATTGAGGCCCTTAAAACCTCAGTGTTAATGAAAGGTGCTGGCTTGAAAACCCTGTAGACTGAAGTCATTCATGTGCCCGTAGAAAGGTATGACACAGATGCTGACAGGATAAGCTTCTCCATGTCACTCTCCTTATGAGCTTCTAGTCCACCCCTTGGGAAGAATATGTGGCTAATTATCCACACTAGTTTACCACTTGAAGCCTCTGAAACTTGCCAGTGGGGGTGTCAGTGTGCTAGGTTTGGCACTGGATTTTAAGTTGGGGATACCTGGCACTGGAAGCTGGGCTGAGAGTACTAACTCACTCCACAAAAGTCACAGAACAGTTTTCTGATGGCAACATCTTTTGATCACTTGGCAAGATTTGAACCAGTGACCTAGAAGGGAAAGGCTCTCTATCACATTACCAGTCTCTTCAGAATGTTCTACATTGCATTACAGTCTCCTGAAATGCTTGTGTTTCTAAAATATATGGATAGATTTATTTGTTTTTTGGTCTGGCCCGAACTCTCTGTATTTAAATATAATCTCTTAGGTATTGAGGGATAAAATATCAAACAAATAAAGTAGCATGTATAGTTACACTAGCATGTGTTCATCAAATCAGTACACTTTTTGTGGCTAGTCTTGATTTTTAGGTTCATATTTGTGTGTAGTGGTGACTGGTACCTATTGCTATGAGCAAGAGGATAAGGCTCAGTGGAAACTCT